GGATTTTGTTTTGTTTTGCTTGTTTTCTACTTAACTTTTGTGTTTCAGCATGTCCCTTGTGGTTGGTCTCATCTTAAATGTCACTTCAGAGACATTTAGATAGAGCTCTCTCTTTAAATAGTCCTCTCCCCTGAAACTTATACTCTCTCTGCATATTATACTCATTCTATTTATTTCCTAGACAGATGCTCTTCCAATCTGCAATAATGCTACCTTTCCTAACCTTTTTCTCTCCATCCAGAATGTGAACTACTTGAGGGTAGGGAACAGCCTACTTCATTTAACACTTAATCCTTGGCAGCCAGGTTGGTGCCTGGAACATATGGTATATAAAGAGAATAAATTGGTAAATAAATTAACTACATGGATACCAACTACAATACTACGTGGATACCAAATCCTGAAAATATGTACTAATTACATATTACAGGAGTTATTATGAAAATCACCTGCTAAGCTAAGCAAAGGCAACACAAAGGCTAATGTTTAATTTGGATATGTCTTTTAACTCTAAGGATCAGCCTCCTCTTGAACAAAGTGTCTTGCATGTAGTAGTAGCTCAATAAATATTTGATGGATAGGTGAGATAATCAACAACAGACTTTGGAAAACAAACACCTGACTATAGAGTTGGTAATATTCTCCAAAAATGTCAATGAAGCTTAATCTATACCATTACAGAGGAAGGAGAATGCTGAGACAATCATCAGCAAATTCCAGGACAAGCATGCCATTTTACTAAACGTTCTGTTTGAGGAAAAAGAGGATGTTTTCAGATGGAGTTATTCATACAATTGCCTCAGTTCAGAAAATGCTCTTTCTTCTCCTTTTATATTAATATCAGAGGGTCATGGCTTCCCCTGGCACCTGTTCCAACATCTCATGGCTTTTGTTAGATCTAATAGCTAAACTAAGTTTTTCTTCTGTATATTCTTTTTTGTTAAGAATAACTTTGTCTCTACTTGCAACTATTATAATAATTCTTAGAAACTATAATAATAGTAATATGCAGACTATGAATTCCCAAAACAAACATAGATTAATATGTAAAATATTAGATGCAACATTTTAATTCCCTAAAATGAAAACTTTGCTGTATACAAGAGCTCTCAATATTGAATGACGACTCGATAGATGTTGATAACATAAGCAACAAGGCAGGCTCTGTTAAAATCATCTATCAAGGGCCGGCCTGGTGGCGCACTGCTACAGTGCGCCGCTTGGGAGCTTGGTGGCGCTCCCGCCGAGGGTTTGGGTC